GCATGCATTTCTGTCAGCAGAAATTCTGGAGAATTCTGGGAGTTGAAGTCCACACATCTTAAAGTTGCCAAGTTTGAAAAACACTGTACTAAATTCTAGTAAGGAGAAACTAAATTGTAGTAAGGAAAAGCTGTCCCCTGTGTGTGGGGATAAAACTAATTACCTTCTCCACCAACTTTGAAAAAGATTTTGCTGTTATCACCGAAGATAAATTCCTTGTGTATGTTTTATACTTGGCCATTAAAGTATTGGTTGGTAAAAAAGACTTTGCTCTAGCTCTTTGGGCAGGAAGGAAGAGAAAAAGGCATACCCCTGGCCATTGTGAGCTTACCTTGGCTTTGTCCACTGCTGGGTTCAGGCACACCCAACGTCAGCACGTAGCCCATAGAATATTATTCGTAAAGGAATGTGGCTGTCAACAGGAAAAGTTTCTCACCTCTGCCCTAGACATTGCCGCAGTCATACACAAACATTCAGGACCATGGAAACAAGATTGTCCTAAATTTTGGGGCAGTCTGGACATTTCTTTCTGTGCGTATTTTTTAGCAGTGACTTTAATAGAAGTCTTTCTGTGATGGTTGCAATATGTTCTATCATTGTTCTTTTATCTGCACAGTTTTCCATAAAAAAAAGACAACCTGGGAACCTCAATGAATCTATTTTACTAGCAGAAGCTTTCATGGTTTTGCTGTCAGTCATGGTGTTTATTAAATCTATGTACTTGTATTTCTGCATAGTAATAAAACAACCTTGGGGTTCTCATTTGAGCACAGTAGATACTTAGTTTACAGAGCTAGTTTTCCCACACCTAATTATGCTGTTTGTACAAATTAACTTCAGGCTGTTCTTCTGGTCAGTGCAGTTTTAAAGTGGAAAACCTAAATGTGCTACGTAAAAACATGTTGCAATAATGCTTCTTTTCTTATTTCTTTTTTTTTTTCTTTCTTTCTTTCTTTTTTTTTCCAGACTTGGGTCCTCCTTTGTACGATGTTCTACTGGAGCAGAATTGAATATTAAAGATGCAATGGCCTAGCAATCTGTTCTTCCTGATTTTTTCCATAAATCTATATAGATAATACATATCTATATAATTTCTCCTGTGGGAGTTCTCAAGATGTCCCATTAATCCTTGCTTTTTTTCTTCCATTGCCTTAATTTGAAACATTGTAGCTATAGTACTCACAAGGTAGGAAACTGGACACAGTCTGATCTGTTCTGTAACAATCAAGGCCATGCGCAAGCATAGCAATACAGGAGGAAATGGTTGTGGAGTCCTTGGTGCTCTCTGCACTTGATTGTTTGCTCGCTGTTGTTTCATTACCTGATGAGGTAACATCAGCAGCTTTAATGAGCATGGGGTTTGCTCCCTGTTTATATACAGTAGCTTCCTTGCCAATGTTGGTGGGTGTGTGGTTTTCTCCTTAGTGGTTCCTTGGTTAGTTCCTTGATTAGACATATAGAGATATGCCACATTTACATACCATTCAAAAGAGACAATAAAAAAGCTAAGAAGGAAACAAAAAGACCAGAACACATCCTCTCCAGTAGCCAACACCAGATAAGCAGGGACTAACACCAGACAAACAGTCAAGCAGAAAACAATACCCTAATCAAGGAACTACTAAGGAGAAAACCACACCCCCACCAACTCTGGCAGGGCAAGCTACTGTATATAAACAAGGAGCAAACCCTATATTCACTAGAACTGATGATGTTACCTATTTGAGTAACATTTGAATTGCCTTTGCCTTAATTTGAAACACTGTAGCTATAGTACTCACAAGGTAGGAAACTGGACACAGTCTGATCTGTTCTGTAACAATC